TAACTTCCTCCAAAAAGGTGAAAAAGTATAGGTAAAATATAACTGGTTGTGATTAACACTTACACTTTTTACATACACACTTGTGAATGTACCTAGCATCTTTCCATATAAACAAGTATGACATTTTAGGTCTACTGGCCCTTAAAAGTAAGCCGGTCACAAACCAGGGCCATTGAAATGGAGCAGTTAGTGACCTTCTATGTAGTAGCCACCCTCCAGAAGGAAGGACAGTGTCAGTATGAATTCAGAGATGATTTGAGGAGCTACAGCTGAGTGATACACAAATAAGATACAGATTTGGTCATAGTTAAGGTACTTGAATGATTTAACTCCCAAGTTTAGTGTCACTTTAATGTAAATAGTATAATTTGTGAAAGTTAGTGAAAGACAGCTGAAATTATAGGTCTTCTCCACCCTAGAGACTCTATATCATCTACACCCTGACCTCCCAATTCTGCTTATTGTTCAGCAGGCTGCCCATCAGATAGAAGGATCAATAGGCTCAATTTGTATGAGGCTGAAGCCAGGGGCAGGTTTTTATAAGACAAGACATCATTTGTTTATATCCGTGGATCATTCTCTCATCGTATGCTCCAAATGAATCGGTGAGGCTTGTGCCAGCTTTACTTTAAAAAAAGGTATACCTGCTATAAAATTGTAAACATTTTTTGTTCTATTACTAGATTGTAAATAGAAAAATGGATAAAAGCTTACCAAAAAAAAAAAAAAGCTAGCCAACATATTCACTTAGATCAGGGTTTGTTTTGTTATTAGATCTTACTGGCAGGCATGCAGCATATAGTCCCACAATTTTGAGTGCTAGCGTCTCAGTACCAGATTAAGCAGCCTACATTACAGATCTGGCAGACCTGGACATTCTGTAATTGTATGTACAGGTCATTTTGCTTCTACCTGTGAAGCGTTTCTCATGCAATGTTTCCCATCTTGTGCAATCACTTAACACCAAAACTTTCAGATCATTTAGCCCGAGATATGAAAACAATACTAAATGTATTGAGCCCAGTGATGGAAAGTGTTTTGCTGCCCACAAAGGCCATTTTGGTTCTTTTGTTTTCTTTTTCTCATTACAAAGAATCTGGTTAAAATGGGCAACAGCAGCTCATTCAGGCACTTTTAATATTGAGGTCCCATTAGATGTCATAGGGGCACAAAGCATCTACCCCAATTGCAAGAAAATAGATACTGATACACAACCATTTCTCCACACAAGAGCTGAACATTGGTACCAATCAAAATGAAACGACATTTTCTTACATAAAATCTGAAGTTAGTTTTTGAAAAGATCAAATCTCCAGCCAATTCATTTTACTATTACACAGAGAGCAAAGTATCCTATTCAACCATGACAAATCATTTTGCCAGAATATGGTTATATGGCAGAGCATGACACTTGTTTTCGGTTTAATTTCCACCACTGTGTATCCGAAAAGCTTTTATTAATAATGGTTATCGTTCAATACTGCCCATGGTTTATCTGAAAGTCACATTTCTTTTTAAGGAATTAGATATGGCAAAAAAAAAAAAAATGCAACAGGGGGAAAAAAACAAAACAAAAATAAATATTTAGGTGTGCTGAAAGCAAAGGCCAACTAACCTCACTGCAAAACACAGCTTCACTATTGTACAACTCACTTCTAATATAGCAAATATGTTTTATTTAAAATAAAACATTTGAACAAGAAAATATATTGCTTTTTGCATTGTCTGTGCTGGCTGGAGCATATAGATCAGTTCTATAGATCACTTGGCATGCAACTGTATGGAAATGATGCTGATGATACCCCAAGATATTAGCACAACAGTATAAAAGGCCCTATTCACACTCGTGCATTGCAGTAATCGCTCTATGTGTGGTGCTATTCATTGTGAATGGCAAGCCATCTCCCTGTACAGCACACATTCCATGCATTGTGTTGTGTGTTTATTGATCCAGTGAGAAGCATTGGCAGAACATTCATAATGAATCGGACGCCTTAAGGAAATACCCCAGAATTTTGTGTTATTAACCCTTGCAGTGCAGCTACCCCCCGCACTACAAGGGTTAACTGCTCCTTTTTTTTTTTTCTAGGTTAAAAAATCAAAGTTATACTGACCCAAACCGGCTTGTTTTTAGAGTGGACCTTCCAGCGTCTCTCCCCCTCCTCTGCAGTGGTCCAAGGTCCTGTAAATCACCACATCTATACACTGTGCATAGAAGTTAGGACGCTAAAGGAAGATTCCAGGAGGAGACAGGCTGGAGGGAGCGCTGTGACAGCTGGCCAGATCAGCGCTTTGAACGAGTATAACTTATTTTTGAACCTAGACAAAAACGAGCACTTACCCCCACTACAAGGGTTAATAAGTTTTCTTGGAGTTCTTTAACACGAGATGCAACATAAATGGTAACCTGTATTAATGTGCCCAAGAGAAAGCAAAAAGGATGAATGGGCCCCCAGGAGGTAAAAGTAGGATGTAATTTTATATTTATCATGCCACAGCTTTTTTTGTGCCTGTGGTAAATTTCAAATAGGTTTACTACTTGCACCAAATATTAGGGAACGTTTAGGAGATTCCACAAAAGGTTCATAGTAAACACTGAATGGAAGCCAAACAGGCACAGGCTGGCCAAGGACAGTTAAAAAGTGTTCACCCAACCAGGCAAAGGTTCAACAAACCTGCACCACCCATTTGGTTTGCTTCATGTAGAAAACAAAATCACAAAATGACTGGCAAATCTGGAGCAGCCAGCGAGATGGAAAGTCTCAGAAGACTATGGCTGGCACAAGAGGTCAACAATGTAAGCGTCTGCTTACAGACTAGATGGTACTGGAGTGCCCAAGGCATCTGTCAACATCACTAGCACATGATCTGAACAATTGCATGGAAAGAGTGCTCAGTTCTCACATAGTAATCATTTTCAGTTTAAAGCATTTATACTGCTGAATGAAAATCAGTTTGCCTATAGCCAGCCATGCTTTAAGCTTTCCTCCAGGTTTATTATAAACTATAGTGACACTTTCATAAAATTAATAAGAGCTCAATTTCCAGTGGGAGTAGTGTTTCATTTCCCAAGCAATAAGGGGAGGGGGCTTATTGTGGGAACTTAAAATCTGTTCTCCACCCAAATTCGTTCCTATTTAAGTGCTTTTTGAAGGAATTAAAAACAAAAAGCTGATTGTGCTAGGATAACTAATCCAAATAAACAATACAAAAATAAAAACTGCAACAATGTAGTATGGCACAACATATATTGTACCTGCCTGTTAAATGAGCAAGGCGCTCCCCAATGCATATTGTTAAAGCTGAACTCCAAATATAAAAAGGGTTTTTGTTAATTGCGGTGTGGAAAAACATAAAATGACCTCTAATCTTTTTTTTCTTCCTTATGTCAAGGTCACTGCTGTGTACTGTAAAAATTGATCATTCATACCGGAAAGTACAGCAAGTGCTGTGGTCATGAGAGCTGCAGCTCTAACACGCAGATGTTGTTGTTTACAAGGCATTCTGTGAACAAACAAGGGGAGAGTGGTCTGTGAATGGCGACAAAGGAAGTGGGGCTACAGACATTACTTCTTTGTATGAGAGCTGCAGAAGTATAGTGCTGGATGTACACCAGCATGAATGAAATGAATTTGTACAGTACACAGCAGTGATCTGGATGCGAGATAAAACAGCATTAAAAAAAAGGTAACTTTCTCCAACACCAAAAGTCATAAAAGTATCTGTGCTTGGAGGTTTGCTTTTAAAGCTGTATAGATTTTGCTACACAACTCTTTGTAATGGTTATTATTAGACCATTTGCATGATCTATATCCTTAATTTTAAACAGTCACTTTGCAGCGCAAAAGTGTCTTAAAAATAATAAATTATAACTTGAAGACAACGTTTACATTTGTAGTATTTGTCTTCGTGCACAAGATTGCTTAAACCTGCAAATTTTGGGTGGAAAACACAACTATGCATGAACATACATAATAAAGTGCAGCCCTTATGAGCTTTAGAACACTAAGGCTACATTTCAGGTTCAAATCTGAAAAGTAGCCCAATAAGAGCTGAACATGATGGTCCAAAGTGCAGTGCTATACCACGGACCCAGAGAAAGTGGCTCCATGTTTATGCTCTACATGACCTTATGTATTGGAGTTCCTGAACTTTTTAGGCTTTCACACAATAGCCTGCAATGTAATAATTCCTGATGAACAAAGCCAGTAACCCCCTCCAGTGACACAAACAGCCACTGAAATGGATCCCATAAAAAGAGTTTTTTTTACGCAACCTGCACAAGAAGCAAAAATGAAAGATACTGAAATGCAAGGGAAATAAAAAAAAATGATGTTCAACACTTGACTCAGACTGCAGTGAATACTAGTTTTCCTTCAAAATCTGGCATTAACAAGGCTTAAGTGTACTGAAAATTTGTCAAAAACAAAGCTCCTATTGAACATCAAATAAGTGGTGGAGTGAACTATTAGTATAATATTAATTCATATCCCGGAGGAGTCATCTGTAAACAGCAATCACTACAAGGCTATTACCACCCATCATTCCAGGAAGGAGCCAAGCGTGTGATGTATAGATAGAAACCATTTGGTGGCTGTGGCCACTGGCCAGCCGCTGATGTCTTCTGATGTAATATGTATATATAGATATATATATATATATGTCTATGATCATATATAACACCTGGACAAAAAGAAACAGGGAAAACAGATCTCTTATAAACTCTTATACAGTTTTATTTGCATCTTCCTCTTGGAGCTGCAAAAAGAATGGCAATGCTAGTTCTCTGTCCCACTGTTTGACGTAAAAAAAAGTGGATTAAGCAGTGAGCATTCCATTAAAGACTATCCATCCAGCACGTGCATGGATCCAATCCAGGTCATCTTCAAAAGGACCGAACCAGTGCTGCATCTGTAGGTTTTTACAAACTTCACAGTATGAACTTTCCCAAAATTCTGAGGAAAACAAATTTTAAAGCTGACCAGTTTATTTTTTTTCTGGATTGAAATTAACAGCTTTGTCCTTCCGTGGTCTGTGACATCAGAAATGATTGCACAACTTCTTCTGTTGACAGGGGGCAAGTATTTACATCCTCCAGGGCATCGGTGACTGAAAACTGGCGATCCCGTAATCTGTTCCAGTTTGCCAATATATTGTGATACTCAAATACCTTCTCAAAATTGCCAACAGAATTATAAAGTTTAATTAAGCCCCTGTAATCATACTCCAGTCCACTGTAACCTTCTCCAAATAACTTCTTTCCTGCAAATATAAAAATAAGAGGGGAGTTTCAAAGACAACTTCAACCAAATCAGCAATAGAAGTAGACCAGCTGTAAACTTTTGAAAAATTGACAGAAGCTCATGACACACAAATATCTCACTAACCCAATGTGCATAAGCAATGAATCTGGGTTAAGAGTAGGGATGCATCGATATAAATATTTCTGTATCAAGTACTGATATTTTGTTTTCAGGAATACAGGAAGTCCCATTAAGGAAGCCGGACAATGACTCGCCGCTCATTACACGCCGCCCGGCCGGGAAGCCGGCTCCATGCCGCCTGGTGATCAGGGAGCATAGAGCCGGGAAACCCCCGGCCAATCAGGAAGCATGTAATGACTTGCCGCCCGGGTCCTGATACTGGAAGTTCGGGTATCAGGATAGGCATAAGGAGCATTTGCTTGGCATCGGCACAAATACTAGTATCTGTATACCGCTAGGTAAGAGTGTCATACTGAAAGTAAAAGATGCTCTGATGTTGAGACAATTAAATGGGACATGTGAGGGGAGTCTGTCTATTTGACAGATTAAAGCCGATATTGCAAGGAAGGGGGTTTTCGCCTATCCAAGACCTGCTGGCTTCCTTCAGCTGTGCAGCAGCAAGAGACGCAAATATGAAGCCTGGACATACCGTTTAAAACACAACGTTTTTTTTCATAGGGTGAAACATTATGGCTGCAGTGGTTAGAGAAAAAAAAAAAAAGGAAAAAAAGAAAACCCCCAAAATTTTAGTCCAAGTCTCAATTAACTGAAACACCATCACAAACTGCAGAATAATATTCTTAGGGACAGTTCCCCATGCTATAACAGTTTTCTGCACTGCATCTGTTAACCAAACATGTATTCTCTTACTTCCGAGACCACATTGCCTCACTCTCTCAGACTAAAAATTGGGAACCAATTAGCATGGGTCCTAATATATATTAGGGTCCTAATAACACAAATATGAAAAGGGGACTTATTTAAACAGTGCATGAAATATGCTTATATGGGCTTAAAAACAACAGAAATAATTTAAGTAGGCAAATTAGAGGAATAGAAAAGGTTACCAGTGCAGACTAAATCTAAAATTGGCCAAGGCATCTCAGCTTTAATGACTTCTGGTCATCATGGGATTAGCCCTGCACACCATTAGCATCTCAACCTATCAACATGAGAACACACCTCATGCAACTCATACTAGGATAACATACCAATAGCTATCGATCGAAGATAAAGTTTCTCTGCATTTTCATACTGGTTCATGTCATAATTATACAGAGAGGCCAAGTGTCCTACTGACAAAGCCACTTCATAGTCTTCTTGACCAAGAAGCTGTTCCTTGATTTGTATGGCCTTGATATGCATCTCTTCAGCTTCCTGTATGGCCAGAAAAAAAACAAAAAAACAATCACACAGTCAGCATATATAAAAATACAAACAAAAAACAACTTCAGTATAAATAACATCTTGCCTAAGACTTAAAATTTAAATCACCACCCAAAAAATGACAACTGATTGTATGTGTGTGTTCAGAAAATAAAATCTAACTAACTTTGTCATGTCTATATTAAAACCCGCAAAAGATAGCCCTGGCCATTAGTCTCTAACCTCAGATACCTAGACTAAATTATTTTTCCCCATGTGTAGGTTTCACATCCTGTAATTTTTTATTTCCCATTTTATTCTTTCAACACTAACCTCATGACTCCTTAAGTACATCCCCACACTTGAATAAAAAAAAAAACAAAAAAAAAAACTTAAAAATTTCAAAACAAAAAGACCACATTTGACATACCCTGTTCATGATTTACAAACATGGAGAATTGTTCTCCCTTCCGTTACCCTTAACAAGCTGACAGCAAATTACAGATGTCAGTAATTTCAAACACCTTTTTTTCCCTCCACGATCACAACAGACTAGCCCCTCCCACACAAAACTTCACCCACAGCCATTTAAAAAAGCTCTCCTGGCGCAAGCAAAATACTCTCCCTTTGGCTTGAAGAAGATGTCTTCAAACCGCCTACCCGTTGTGCCTCACCAAATCAGACACTCTGTCTGTGCTCCGGTCCCGCCAACGTTAACCTCTGTGCTACCATACTGCCGCACCACCTTCGTGCCTGCCCTCTAATCTCACAAGCCGCATGGCGGGGCCAGGTAATCTTCAGCTCTCACACAGATCCCCTACATATTGGAGTCATTCCCCAGTCTCCTCAATCGCTGACCTCAGAACCCTGGCAGTGCTGTGAATCATCCAGCAGCACACCAGTCCGTTCAGTACTGACACTGATCAGAAACCGGCTATCACCGTCACCTCCTCTCCCCCCCCCCGCCTCTGCTTACTAGTTCTCCTGCAGAGCGGCGTCACCACCTACAGTACTCACAACTTGCCCAACTAACAAATCATTAGCCTCAGCAGTGTGCAATCACATTCCTCCACCCTCGCTCACCCCAGGACGTCAGCCATTTACTGCTGGCTTCCTTTCTCCCTGGTTCCTCACACCATTACGAGAAATTGTGGGGTACCTTTCCCCCACATCCACAAAGTATCCTCCATTCCAATAATTAAGGCCGTGTTCTGCACACCACTGGACCCTGGCTGACAGTTTTCACACTGGATCCAGATTAACATCAACATCTTCAAAACTACCTTCAACAGATGCACCATCAATAAATTTGATCAAGCAGATTATCCATCATTCATCTCGCTCAGGATCTTCACATCGTGTCATCCCAGGACCTTCGTCGCTGATTTCACAGCATTACTTACTGAATAGTAAAGTTATGTATTTACACCTGCCAGTTATCCGCACTGATAATACTCGCACAACTATTCAGCACAGCCAGCACACTGACACCACAGATGTCCGATCGGAAATGCCGACACTCCACCACGCAGCACCACCTTCACGAAATCTTCCTTCTGAAGCCTCGACTTGCTCACCCAGATGTGAGTATAACACCAAGATAGCTCTTATTATCTGGACTTTTTTAAACTTCACATAAAACTTGGCATTTGAAGCTTATCCCAACATCTTATTTTGCAGAGCTAGATGCATACATTTACATTTCATATTTAATAATTCAGTCTTGATATTTACATAATTGGCAAGTCTGACTGGAAGGATATCACATAAAATGTAATTTTCCATAGAGCAGAGTGCTAAACTTATTAGTCAAAATGTACCTGTTTAAAAACTTTACATCTCAAACGGCAAGTAAAAAAAATCAATTTGTGTAAATCATTGCAACACTCAAGAAAACCTTCTAAAAAAAATAGTTGCATGGCTAGCTTACCTTCTGAGGCACTGTGCCAGGAAAAGTATGCAGAGCAGAAATGTTAAACTCCTAACCTGCATACCTGTTATAGCATAGTGACTGAAGACACTACATGAGACAGGAAAGAAACATTTCCAGGAAGGTCAGCAATGACAACTTTCATACCCATAAAAGGTTTCCTTAAGCTGGCCATACACCTATGGATTATCTGCAGACTTTCTATGTTCAGATGGGGAAAAAGTTCAACAGATTCCTCCATCTATGCTAAACTGTGTGGATGGGGGAATCTCCCGCTGGACCAAGCTTCAGTATTTTGCTAGCCGGCCCCACTGGCTGCCACAATATCTGAACAATGCCTGCATCCAATCAGATTGTTCAGGTGTTTTGAGAGCCAGCTGGGCCGACTAGCAAGATACTGAAGCTTGGCCCAGTGGGAGATTACTCCATCCACACAGTTTAGTGTAATCTGTTGCACTTTTTCCATCTGATAGAAAATCTATCTGCAGATAAACTATAGGTGCAAGGCCAGCTTTAAAGGACAAGATAAACTCAGGATTGTAAGCACAGGACTCATTTCACAATCTATGCAGTTGTAGACCTGTGAAAATACCATTGTAATGACATCCAATATGCCAACTATCTTTACTGGGACTTAGAGTTAATGGTGGCAAGGAGGCTTTAGTCTATATATTTTATGTACTCCAATTGTTTATTTTTTTTATTTGGGAGACCGGTTCCAGCCTTCCTGACCCTGATAATTTCTCAACCATTATCTATTTCTCACTGCTATAAGCAAGCAAATAACTTCTGCAGCATTCTGCTGCTGCAGGGGCAGGTAAAGTGGAGTTGATTCAAGAAGGCTGCCAGAGCTTAAAATTGGACATGGTGAAAGGTGAGGATTGGCCATGTTACAGGGAACATCTAAAAAGGTGTTACTTGTACCTAAGCTGCACCCAAGATTTCCCTTTTGTGTTGAATTCTTCCTGAAAAATAGCAGTACACTTCCTGGTATGCAAGGGTGTCAAAGCACTCCTTTGCCTACAGTTGCATAGCTGTAAAGCTGCACTGCTGCCTCAAGCCACTAGATTAAGAAGATATGGTGTTCCATTTAGTGAAGAGACTACTTTACTGTTCACTTCTTTCTGTAGGGTCTGAAGCAAGGAAACAAAGCCCTGCTTCCACCAAGACAGCCACCTCTATAAAGCGACAGAGTAGAGACATGGCAATGTCAGTAACAGGCAAAGATCAGCTGCAGGGAGACCTCAGGTAATACTTGTGAATAGTCATTTGACTCCTTAATCCTCCATCTGCCTTTTTTGAGGCACAGCTTCCAGAGTTCAGTCCCTCTTTAAAAGGAAATTCTAATGCTAAAAACGACAAGAGTACGCTTTTTCCAAAAAATTATGCTACATAAATTTCAAATTCAGAAACCATCAGCGCACAGAGATAATAAGGCCATGAGAAACTAGCCAGAGAAAACAGCCATACTAACCAATGTAGGAAATCGTTCAATTAATATATACAGCATAGTAGTTTGCATGCAGCCAGGGAATTGCTTAACATTTTTGTTTTCACAGGAGACACTGGTTTTCCTTTTTCAACATCTGTCGTCTGTTTCTCTCCAATATACCAAACAGAATGTCAAGTGTAGCCTTACCTTAAACTTTCTCATGGACTGATACAACCTGCCAAGATTCCCGTAGTGTTTTGCTGTCTGTACGTTGAACTCACCAAAGGCTTTTTTGGCAAGTTGCAGGGATGAAAGATGAAGGTCATGGGCTTCTTGAAGAAGTTTCTGTTCTGTCTCTTTGTTGTGACAATCTATAGCAATCTCCTCCAGTATTAATGCTATGGGTGTAAAAATAAATGTCTCTTTAGCCACTCACAGCAAGCATCAACTTTCTCCATGTATAAAATGGATATGCACTGGCCATGATCATTTAAAGTGGAAACAAATTATATATCTCCCACTTTGTTTTTTTTTTTTTTTGGGAAATGCTGGATGAACAGAACAATCTTCTCGCTACTCTATTCCAGTGCTAAAGTACCCAAAGCAGATGAAGCCAGCTCCGCTTAACCTAGTTTCTAGTCATACATTAACACAATTGTATCTGCTGGTGCTCAGTTTAGTCTAACACCTAGTAGAAAAAAAAAAGCTTAATATATTCTAAAATGTAGGTAAAACATTTGTCAAGGGTTGGCCACATTGAAGGTTTATGAATAATAATGTGCTACCGTCCTTTCGCTTTAAAATATTTCCTATCAAAAAAGTCTCAGCGTTCTTATCTGTGATGAAGATAAGGAGGACTGTATACAGTGAGGAAAATAAGTATTTCATCCCCTACCAACCAACAATAATTATGGCTCCTACAGACTGGCTGTGTGGTACAGATTAGTCGTGTCAATTTAAGAAGGTGCTCCTAACTACAACTTGTTATGTATATAAAGACACCTGTCCATAGAATCTTTCTTCCATTCAAACCTCACCACCATGGGCAAGACCAAAGAGCTATCAAAGGACATTAGGGACAAGATTGTAGACCTGCACAAAGCTGGGTTGGGCTACAAGACTATCAGCAAGAAGCTTGGTGAGAAGGAAACAACTGTTGGAGCGAATATTTGCAAATGGAAGGAATACAAAATAACACAATAACCCTCGGTATGGAGCTCCATGCAAGATTTCACCTCCTGGGGTAAGGATGATCATGAAAAAAAACTGGAGGGATCAGCCAAGAACTACATGTGAGGAGCTTGTGAATCATCTCAAGGTAGTTGGGACCAGTCACCAAACAAACCATTAGTAACACAATACACTGCCATGGATTGAGATCCTGCAGCGCCCGCAAGGTCCCTCTCATGAAGGCACATGTACAGGCCTGTCTGAAGTTTGCCAATGAACATCTAAATGATTCAGAGAAGGATTGGGAGAAGGATTGGGAGAAAGTGCTGCAGTCAGATGAGACCAAAATTGAGCTCCTTGGCATTAACTCGACTCACCATGCTTGGAGGAAGAAAAATGCTGACTATGACCCTAAGAACACCATCCCTACAGTTAAGCACGGAGGTGGAAACATTATGCTTAGGGGCTGTTTCTCTGCCAAAAAAGTACAGGCCGACTTTGTTGCATTGAGGGGCTAATTGATGGAGCCATGTATTGTATAATCATCCCTCAGCCAGAAAACTGAAGATGGGTCTTTCAACATGACAATGACCCAAAAAATACCAACAAGGCAACAAAGCAGTGGCTCAAGAAGAACAACATTAAGGTCATGGAGTGGCCTAGCCAGTCTCCAGACATTAATCCTGAAGAAAATTTATGGAGGGAGTTGAAACTTCAAGTTGCCAAGAGACAGCCAAGAAAGCGTAAGGATTTGGAGAAAATCTGTAAAGAAGAGTGGACCAAAATCCCTCCTGAGATGTGTGCAAACCTGGTAACCAACTACAAGAAACGTCTCACCTATGCGCTTGCCAACAAGGGTTTCTCCACCAAGTACTAAGTCATGTTTTGCTCAGGAATCAAATACTTATGTTATAAATTGAGCTGCAGTTCAGTGAGTAGAATTTGTATTGTGTTTTTTTTTCTGGATTTTTGGTTGATATTCTGTCTCCATCATTTAAAAAAATACACCTATGATAAAAAATGATAGACCTTTAATTTCTCTGTAAGTGGGCAAACTTACAAAATCTGCAGAGGATCAAATAATTATTTGCCACACTGTATCTCAGATAACTAGGTAGGGTAGTTAAATCAAATAACGATCATTGATGTAAGAGATGAACGATAACTCCATAGAACTGTAGTGGAAATAATGTGGCAAGAAGACATAGGGGGTTATAATAAAAGGTAAAATGTACTTTATGGGACAAGCAAAAAAAACAGGCTACTTGTTCTAAGCCAACACCAAATTAACAAGCTGAAGGTAAAACTACTCTACTACTGCATCTCAAAATCATCAATACATTTGGGAAAAGCAGCCATGAAAGGAATTCACTATTCATAAAAAGAAGTTCTGGCCATACCTTTAACTCTTTTGGAGGAAGCTAATAATAGATGGTCTTCTGGTAGTATGTGTGTGATGATATCTATGGCACGTTCAGCATGAAATCTTAAAAAGGAACACAAAGTCATAAGTCAAGAACGCAAAGCATAAACTGGAATGATCTGTTTTTATACATTTTAAGTCCTCAGCAATTTTCATTACCACTTTACAGTCTCCAATTCACAAAGCAGACAGCGAAGAAATTATCAATATTCTGGATCATTTACTGCATGCAACAGTACTTAGCCATTTATTAACAGACTGATAGTTGCAACTTCCAAGCTTCATATAAAATTGAAAATTGAAAATGAGGTTTTACAATAAAAAAAAACAAACAAAAACAGTTACTCACAGTGCATTGTCAAATTTTCCCGAACTATACTGATGAACATAAGAAGAGTAGGCCAAATCTTCATGAGCTGTTGCCACGTGAATGTTTTTACCTCCAAAAACAGACTGTCGGATATCCAGAGCAGTCTACAATATTTAACAGTATGATCGTTAATATGCGAGAGAGTGAGAAAAAGAAAAAAAAAAAGTCCATAAAAGCAATGTACGTGCCTATATGACACTGGCCACATTCTTTCATGAGCTGTTGCCACGTGAATGTTTTTACCTCCAAAAACAGACTGTCGGATATCCAGAGCAGTCTACAATATTTAACAGTATGATCGTTAATATGCGAGAGAGTGAGAAAAAGAAAAAAAAAAAGTCCATAAAAGCAATGTACGTGCCTATATGACACTGGCCACATACACTGTACGTGACGAGTTATATCAGGCTTTGTAAGCAGTTACCAGTCATTAATGAATGCCTCAGTATTGAGGCATTCATTAATGAACTAATTAAGCTTTTTGTAAAAGCTTCTTCCTTTCATTAATGAAAGAATGAAGCCGTTACATGCAAATACAGGACCGCAATTTGCGATCCCGTATTTGACAG